CAGAGTGGGGTTCTCTCTTGCTTTGTATCTGAGCAGGGTGCTGATTGAAGGGCTGGAAAGCCCAACCCACAGGGTCTCCATGGGCAGACCCCCAGCAGCAGCTGGGATTACAGCTGTGCCTACTGGCTTTGAAGAGCAGCACCAAAAAAGCCTTTGATGTGCATGAGAAGAGACACAGATTAAATTCCTGGCTCACCTTGCCCCCTCTCTTCCCTGAAGCCATGGTGTTTTTCATTCCTGGGGTGCCTGTGAAGCCCTGCAGGCAGTGTGGGGAGGGGTGCCCATTGGGCATTGCATGGGTCTGGAGTAAGAGGGAGGGAGCTGTGCAAAAGAGGTTTCTCAAACATGTTTTCCTACTGCCAGTCTTGTTGTGTGTGGCTCTGCCTGGCTGGCTTGGGGAGAATGGGTGAGATCTGCTTGGCTCAGACTTCTGAGCTCTCTAGAAGCCTCCTTTCCTTATAGATTCCCCAGCTCAGTTGATTTGGGCCTGCAGCTCATCTCTCCTGTTAGGGGCTCAAACTGTTTTTCTTCTCGTGTTTGATCTCTTGGAAGAATGTTCGTAAGACTGAAATAAAAACCTGACAACAGTGTTGTGCTGGTGCATACTGGGGTGGCCCCTCTCTTCCCTCCTGTGCAAAGGGAAGCCCCAGAACCCTTCCCGAGGCAGAGGATTCATGTTGGGAACTCGCTTTGTACCTTCCCCTGAGCAGCAGCACTTTTCCAAGAGGATGTAACTGTATTAGGAAAATGAAGTGGAGAGCAGCCCAGCCCTGCTCCTGCAGTAATTGCCTCTCCGGGGCATTGAGTGCTGTTAGAACACTGCACACAGCTGCGTTGGCAGAAATATAAAGGGGGAAGGGATCCCCCCATCTATCTCTTTTCCCAAAAGGCTTTTTCCTTTTAAAACCTCTTTGCCTACAAATGCGGTTAATAAAGCTGTGTTATGGTGTGTGCCACCCTGGGCCCTGCACATGTGGAAGCAGGGAAGACCAGCTGGAGAAATCTGGTGCTGAGAGGAGTTGCAGCAACCCCTGCATCTCCTGAGGGCTCATGCATGGGCTCCCATTCGTGGAGGGGCTGGTTCTGAGCCCAGACCCACTGTACTACCCAGAGGTTTTTTTGGGGAAAGTCCCAACTGCAGACCCACGGGTGGGCTGTAGGCAATGCCCATGATCAGAGCAGCATAGGAGGGATGGAGAGAGACCCAGGCTCGGTGAGGCCATTGCTCTTGCGTGTCCCCTCCGGCTCCTGGGACAGCCTGTGCCTATCCCCAGCTTCCTTCCAGAAGAAAGAAGCTCCCAACCTTGCTGCTGGGGTTGAAAGACTGGATGGGGGAGAGGAAACAGGTTAGGCTCATCGAGAGGCCCTCTCTGCGGGGGGCGGCTGTTTTCTGTGCCTGAATTAATCATGTTCTGCGACCTACCAGGAGGGAGAGACACAGCCGGCTTTGATGGGGCTAATTAAAGCGAGGCAGTGCGGGGAGAGGCTGCGGCAGGGTGAGGAACCGGCTTTTGTCTGCAGCGCCCGGCCCCGGCGGGTCCGTGGTGTTGTGCAGCTGGGAAACAGGTGGCAGAGGAGGGGAGTGGGTTCCAAAGGGGACAAGTGTCTGCTGCGGGCCTTTGCCTGAGCCTCTGGACTCCCAGGACTGAGCCATCCACTCTCCAGAAAGGATGGGTAAAACGAGGCAAGGATCCTCCTCTCCATGTCACAGGACAGTGGGAACAGGAGACCATCCCCACAGTTGGCTTGGGTGCCACCAAAGGAGCTGGAGCGTGGCAGAGGTAGCTCCTGAGGACCAGTGATCCCAAGTACATTTCTTATGCCATCTGTAGGGCTTGTGGCCAGCACAAGCCCCATTCCCTGAGTACGGCTGGGGGGCAGCCGCCCCCATTGCGGGTTTGTTCCACAGTGGCTGCAAGGGTCTGCAGGTCTCCCTTCAACGGGAGGGACAGTTCAGGCCCTCAGTCATGTGTCCCCATCCCTGCTGTTTCTGCCCTAAGCGACAGGAAACATTAACATGCACAGGAGCACAGTAACACACCCCTTGTTAATTTTTATGGGGAGGCTGTGAGGAGTGGCTGGGGCTGGGTGTGCGGTCTTGGCACAGGCTCAGCCTCCCTCCTCCAGCAGCAGCACTTCCACTACACGTTTGAAGAGAGGCACTGGATTATTGGTAATGGCTCAGGATCCCCAGAGAGTCCTTCAGGCCATCTGCCAGCCCGCCCAGCCCACAGCACCTGCCTGCATGCTCCCGATGGGATGGCAGAACCCCAGCGTTGCTAATTACCCTGCAGCCGGTGCTACATCCCTTGGATCCTGGGTACAGGGAAGCCGTGTGTGTGGCCCAGCAGGAAAACAAAGCAGCCCGCGTTATATGGAACTGCTTGCTTTGCTCACCCCTGGCACAAAGAAAGACACCCCCAAAACACCAGCACTGGGGGACTGGAAAGCCATTGACCCTCCTACTCAGCAGCATAGCATCAGCCTTTCCCAGACAGATTTTTCTCAGCACTCTGAAATATTCTGGATTGCTTCCTACTATTCCCCTGCACATTAAGCACCACATGCTAGTGCCTCTTTCCCAGTGTCTGCCAGAGTGATGAAGGGACAGCCAGGTCAGACTGCTCCATGTCTCTCTGCCCTGTACAGCCACTCTACACCTCAGCCAAGGCTGAGGGAGGTTGTGTACAAGATCACATCCCAGCCCTGGAGTGGGGATTCTCAGTGGGGAATCTTCTTTAATGGCATTGTTCCTTCAGTTTGCTCATTGTAAATATATCTCTATATATGTAGAGGCTTCCCCCCAGTCCTGCAGGGAGTCAAGGCACAGCCCAGCAACGTGCTGACAAAGCAATAACAGCCCCTTCCCGCAGTTTCTTGAGCAGCCTCAAGGCCTAATCCATGGGAGTTATTTCTTGTGCTCACGTACAGCAGGTGCTTAACAGCTGCAACCTTCACCAGGCCAGCTTTTCATCCTCAAAACACTCCTTCCATCTTATTTAAAGCAACAAAAAAGGGATGAGGATGATTTCTCCATCTAACACGTTTATTTTACTAATCCAGAAATGCAGGGCCAACGTTGAATTGCAGGAGGGACATCTGCCTTCTCAGGGCAGAGCCTTGCTTAGGAAGACTCAGAGCTCCCCCTTTCTCCCCTTTTTCTCTTCTTCCCTTTCCTTCCCTCTCTTCCCTCCCTCCCAGAGCATCACCCCCTCCTCCACCCTAGAGCCCCTCAGTGACAGCCACAATGACATTTGCCCCCCTGCTCTCCTGGACCCTTCATTTGGCCCCTTAGGCTCTGACTGAAGCCATTTGTCCCAGGGCTGTTGGGGACAGACAATGCTTGTTTGGGGACCGTGGGGCACAGCCACCCACTTCACTCCAAGTGTGGTTTCATCCCAGAGAAAGGTGCCTGGGTGCCAGGATTGCAGGTGTGAGGTGATTCAAAGTTGTTTCCTGGGATCCTGCAATAAATACAGAGCATGGCTGGTGATGTGGTGACAGGAAGAGAGGCATGTGGCACTTCACAGCAGCAGGAAGAATCATCTGTGAAGCATTATATGGAAACACAGGGCAGAGGACACCATTCCCAGCATACAAGGAGACACTGGAAGCCCTGGAATAAAACCCAACCCAGGCAACCAGATGTAGAAAATCACTTTTCTTTGTGTCAGGCTGTCTGGAGGGACTTGTCCCTGCCTGAGAATGTCTGAAGTGGGTAGCTTATGGGATGGATTGAAAACTGGTGGCAGTTTATGATAAACAGCACCTTTTGTGGCTCTGCATTTTCCAGTGGGATAATTATGTCCCTTTCCCAGCACACTGCTCGTACCCATTTCTCTTTCCACAGAACATTGTGCTTTAATGACGAGATGCAATTTTGCCTTCACACCACAGACAATGGCCCTTGAATCAGCGGAAGGGCTGGCGTGGGGACACCCCAGCAGCAGCACTGCCAGGCCAGTGTGGGTCACAGCCACCACATCACCTCGAGGCACTGAGAATCATCCGCTCTCTTCTGTACGGAGCACCATGGATTTTGAAGAGGCCATTCCAGGGCTGCTGGTGGTAGAGGGATGCTTGGCACGGTGCAGGCATGTGTCCTGGCCTTCATCCTGCTGTGCGGATGAAGCTGGTGGGGTGTGAGGGCTGGGGGGTGGCAGGGGGCTGGACCCCCACCCCATAGATAGTGGGCATGCTTGCTGCCTCCTCTTCTGCCCGAAGCAGTGCAAGCACCAGCTCTGTGCCAGAGTTTTACAGGAAACTATTGCTAAAAATGGTCACTGACGGCAGAAACAGATCTGTAGGGAAGAGCAGTCAGGTCCTGGCTGTGGGAAGGAGCTCAGCCTCACATCCAGCCCAGGCTGCAACTGACCATGGCACAGAAATCCCTCGGCTGCCTTGGTTGTGCCACTGCCATGATGCTGGTGGCAGGATCCCATCCAGGAAGATGCTGGGGAGGCAGCAGGAGGTCCGAAGGCCATGCTGTCCCAGTGCTGGTGGCAGGGAACAACCCAGGCCAGGGCCATGCAGTCTGGTGGAACACCCCAAAGCCTCATCAGTCCGGTGGAATACCCCAAAGCCTCATCAGTCCGGTGCTGCTGGGCCGGAGCACCATTCAAGAAGGGTTCAAGGAGGTGAGAATGGTGGCTGAAGGCTGGTGTAGGCAAAGTTTCACCCAATGGTATCGGTGTTGGAGTGCAGCAAGGGGATCCCGTTTCTGCCAGCGGCGGGGGGTCCCTGGGGTGCGCACAGCTAGGAGCCGGGCCCCTCGGGGAGCTGGGGTGGGGGGCTCAGCTGGCTCTCGAGCAGCGCCCGCGTCCCTTCACCCGATACCCTCCGCAGCCGCAGCCGTACCGAGCCATAGGTGCCACCGGTGCGGCGGGCGGCGCGGGCGCGGCGGCGGGCGGCGGCGGCGGCCAGCAGCAGGGCGGCGAGCAGGAGCCCGCCCAGGGCCAGCAGCGCCAGCCCGGCCCCGCCGGCACCGGCCCCCCCGCGCCCGCACCAGCCCCCGCACCCGCGGCCGCCGCCTCGTCCGGGCTCCGCAGCTCCGCCGCCCGCGGGGACGCCATGGAACCGCCGCCGGCCTGCGCGGCCGAAGGTGAGCGGTCGAAGCGGGACGGGATGCTCCTCTGGGTCGGAGACGGGTCCCCGAACCGGGATGCTACCCCAAATCAGAGGCGAACCCCGCGGCCGGGATGCTTCCCCTCTCCGGAGTCGCTTCCCCTGACCGGGCTACCAGCCCCACCCCGCAGGTCTCCGAACCGGGCTGCTCCTCCTCCTGGGGTCCCGCTTGGCCGAACGGGGCAACCTTGGGAGCTGAGATTTCCTCCCGGACTGTCCCACTTCCCCGGAACCGACCCCCAGACCGGGCTGCTCCCCTTCCCTGAACCCTCACCTGCCTCTCCGAACCGGCTCGTCCCACCTGGCTCTCCCCCTTTCCAAACCAAGCTCCCGCCGCGTGACCCACCTTCCCGAATCCGTCTGAAACCCCCTGTGGGCACCTGTGTCCCTGTGACTCCACTAAATTGCCCCTCACCGGACCCTCTTCTCCCGCCGGGCTCTGCCCTCCCGTTCCCCGCTCCCGCACCGGGCTGTGGCCCCGCTCCGTGCACCGTGCTCCGCTCCCGCTTCTCCGCTCGGTCTGCCCTCCCCGCCGATGCCCGCACCGAGCTGCCCCGCTTCCCCTCCCGGTCCCCCGCGTCGGGCTGCCTACCCCCGCCGCCTCCCCGGCTCCCCGGGCAGGTGCCGGTGCCGCCGCGGGGCGGGCGGTGGGTGCCCCGAGCTGCGGTCGCGCACGGCCGCCGCACGCACACGCACACACACACACACACACGTACGGGGGGCACACACATGCACTCACATGCACACGCCCGGGTGCACACCGGCATCTGCTGTGCACGTACCCTGTGCAACAATAGGGACCCCTCTGTGCCCCCCCTCGGCATCGCCGGGACCCTCCGTGGGCACCCCGGGGGGCTGCGTGGGGAGGGGCTTTGGAGAGGACAGAGCAGCACGGTGGGTTTTGTGTGGGGTCTGCCTGGAGGACGTGTCCTCCACAGCCAGCAGTGCCCTGTGGGACATGAGGTGGAGCTGGGCTGGGAACACTGGGGCTGCAGCATGAGCATCCCCAGCCCCAAAGACAGCAGGGAGAGGTCCCATATGGATGTTGCCCAGCCTGTCCCCAAATTCCCGGAGAAAGTGGGGGTTGATCTGGGTTTGGGCCAGGTATGATATGCCCCAGCCTGGGACAGAGGAGCACCTGTCCCCTGAGGTTCCCACTGCAGTCCCATGGCATAATGCCCCACTTCAAACACACACTCTCACGTTATTTATTCCATTTCCCCCAGAGCATTCATGTCAGTGCCTGCACTCTTCTTCTCCCTGACCTGGCACCAGACCCAGGCACGTGCCCCAGCAGCGACCTGCTGGCAGCCACACGCTTTCCCTCGTTTGTTAATACAACGTGGTCTATTTCCACATTTGGAGCAGTGCCTGGAGATGTGGATATAAATCCCCAGCAATAGCGGGTGGGCTGCTGACAGCTGCCGGGAAGGTTTGTCCATTGCTTTACCATTCCCTTCAACACCTTCACATGCTTCCAGCATCTCCACAAACACACCCAGTGCTGCGGGCACTGGGTGAGCTCAGTGCTGGGGCTGCAGGGATGCTGCGTGTGCTCTGCACCCTGTCCCCATTGTGTCCTGAACCCTGTTTCCACACACAGTGCGTTCCTCTGCAGCTACACTGGGCTCTGTGTTATCCGTAGTGTCTGGGCACTGCTCTGTGTGGAGATGTCAAATGGGAGTCTCCTGTCACCTGTGTCATGACAGGGCAGGGATTTTCTCTGAAGTCTCTGTCAGATACAGCTAAAATGGATAAAAAAGGGTCAGAGAGTTTTAGAGCATGCCACACAAATAAAGAGGTGCATTTTCTGAGGGCTGGATAGGTGCAACACGATCCAGGCTCAGCACCTACCCAGGCACAGTGTCTATGCATGATGCTGACTGGAACACTCTAGACCAACACATGGCACCTCTCAGTCTCTGAGCTGCAGCAGGGGCACGGAGCTGCCATGGCAGGGGGCTTGGAATGAGATGATCTCTTAAGGTGTCTTCCAACCCAAACCATTCCATGACTTTGTGACTCTGTGAAACACAGAGGCTTCCCAGCACAGTGTCCCCAGAGATGTAGCCAGAAGTGGGCCGAGTAAGAATTAAAAATAAATGTAAGTGCATCCTGACACATTAACTACATTTAGAGAGTCTTTAGTACCAACCCACTCCACAGGAAGGCAGGAGATGCTTGGAGACAAGTAGGTCATGGGACACAGATTGTCCCAAATCAGCAGGAAAAGATGGATTTGGAGCAGGCAGGCATATCTCTGTGAACAGATGGGCAGGAGCAGATCTGCTGCCTTACCATCGCCAAATTCCCTGGGAAGACAGAACTGCCACCAGTTTGCTCCTGAGCAGAGCTGTGGTCAAGTCTCTGTTCTGGAGCACCCAAGCCCTGAGGCTGCCCATGCACCCAGGGATGCCAAGGCCAGGAGCCCGGCCAGGATGGGGATTTGTGGGGCAGAAGCAGAAGCACTCCTTCTGTGGCTCCCACCTGCCTTCATACAGGGACAGGGCTGAGCCTGCCATGGGGTCAGGGCTCCATGCTGCCCAGGGGGGCTGCTCCTGCACCCCAATCCCACAGCAATGCTCGGGAGGCCACCTGTGAGGTGGAGGGATGTGTCCTGCTTGCACTGAGGTGCCCCAGGATCCCACTGCCATTGCTGGATGGGAGCTGGAGGGGACCCCAGGCCTTTGAAGGGGCCTCAGGATAGCCCAAAAACCTTCCCCAGCCCGATCCTGAGTGGCTGAGCATGAGGACGGGGACTGGCAAAGGCCACTCCATCCCCAAGGTGCTGGCACTAAGAGAAGGGGAGGAGAGACTGAGACAGGCAAGATCTATGCTGCCAGTGCAGGAGCAAAGAGAGGAGGGAGACAGCCAAGGTCAGAGGGAGCACTGCCAAAATTCACAATGAAACTGCAGGAGTGCTGGAGGGGAGAGACAGACGACTTGGAAAGAAAAGGAAAGAGGAGGGAGGGAAGGAGTCTGGGAGACAGAACAGGGTAAAGGAGCCAGACAGGGAACCAGGGATGGGAACATGTCACTCCTCAGATGAAATGATTGATCATGGATGAGAGGGACAGCAAATGGGAGCCTCAGACAGGCAGAAGAGGACAGCAGGAGCAGCAATGTGATGGAGCTAGACAGGACCTGGCTTTGTTCCCTAATACAGCCCTGTGCAGCACAGCCCAATTTTGGGGAGTGCACAGCTGTCTGGTGCCCACTGGCAGGTCTGACCCCTATCCAGTCTCACTACGCAAGTGGTTTCATTCCTGCCTCCTTAGCATTCACAGCATCCCATGGCAAAGCGAGTTTCCGCAGCCAGCACGGCTCAAGGTGACTCAGAGGTCAGGAAAAAGCAGACGGGCAATTCAGGAGCTGGCTCTCCATCACTGAAAGATCCATCAGTTTGGGAGGACCAGAGATGTCCAGCACATCACAGCCTCCCTGCCTGTCACTGCCAGTCCCTGTGTACCCCAGACACAACATCCCAGTGCTCCCCATGGATTGGGGGGGGTGGTTTCTGATCCAGCAATCTGCTCCTGGGAGCTGCTGCCACCAGCAAGGCAGGGCTGGACATGAGCTTTGGTGCTGGGGAGGGCTGGAGCTACACAGTGGGCATCAGTGAGGGTGGCTCCCCTCTTGCAGGGCATGGAGTTCCCAGACAGGTTTGGTGCCCTGGAAGAGCAGCGGATACCTGCTCTGGGGCTCATGGGGAGGTTCCTCCAAGTCCCCATTGGGGATACACCAGACCAAGGATGGTTTATAGCAAAAATCCCTCTCCTTCCCCACACATCTGAGCCCCAGCCCAAAGGCGGCTGGAGGGATGGAGCCCTGCTTGCCACTATGACCAGATGCAGAGCCGCACTGGGATGAGGCTCAGCGCTTTCCTGGTGATAATTAAGATCTCATTATCTTCAGCTAACACCAGGGAGACAGGGAAAACCTCAGGTGCCTTGTGATATGGCAACAGCTGATGCTCCAGGCTGTGCCTGGGAGCAACGGGAGCCTCGCTTGTTCTGCCTGAATATAAAGCACAGAAAGCACGAAGCAGAGGGTGAAAAAACTATTTTTTTCCTGGCTGGTGACACCTAAGTGTGCAAACATACTGTCTTGTCTCAGGGGTGGCTGGAGCTGACACAGATGAATGGCTGTGCAGCTTTTGCCTTTACCCTCCCTGCACAGAGGTCTGATCTGAGGCTCTGTGTTTTTGTTTGGCTTTTTTGTTTTCTTCTGCAAATTTCCTTCACCAGGGGAGTTCTATCAGACGTGTCTGGAGCCATGCAGGAGCTGCTCACCTGCAGAGAAGGAGATGGGGCGGTGTCTGCAGACGGGCTCTTAGAACGTCAAGGGTGAAAGGGACTGGGAGAAGGGGAGGGGAAGACAAGGAGAGGAGAGGAAGGGAGAAGAGGAAGAAGTGTTGCGGTGTGATGCAAAGAAGGACAGATGCATGGGGGTAGTGAGACTGCTCTCCACTGTCATGAACCCAAAATGAGGGGTGCGGCCATGTGTTCCCGGGCATGTGTGGGTCCTGCTGGTGAGCCCCAGGAAGGAGGGGGCCATTTACCGCGGCAGGTCCCTGCCGGGGGCTCCGTGGCTGTGCGGGGCCGTGGCGAGTGGACACGGGCCCGGCGGGGCTCTCAGGCGGGCCCGGTGTGGGACTCCCCCCCCC